CTGCAGTTGGTTTCCATTTCTGTGAAGAGGTGCTGAGGCACGGGCTGGTGGGGTTTAGCTGGGAAATGGTCAAAACTCCTGTAACACCAGCTCTGCCCCTGCTGCACTTAGCAGACATCCTGCCAAGCTTTCCTCCAGCTCCAGCCCTTGTTTGGAACTCACTTCTGAGCACTGACATCACTCCTGCAGCTTGCCAAGGAGCCTTTTGAAGCCCAGAGAGTCAGGAGGGCTCTCAGGAGGGGTGCTGATGTGTCGGTGTGCCAGAGAGAGGTTTGTCTTTGGGGTGTGTGGCACCTTTGTCTCAACATTCAAATTTTGAATGTTGAAAAGAGATTTGGGCATTCACAGATCATCTGGGAATGTGGCATCTGGCATCTAAAGGAAAAAGTACATGTAAATTTTTTTTCCCTTGCAAGCCAGGAATTGTAGTGAGTGCTACTGGGACTGTGAGGAGAGAAAACAAAGCAGTGGCTAATTCTGCTTTTCCCAAGCAGTCAGATAAAGGGCAGTTGAAAAGAGAGAAGGGAATGAATGCAAGATATGTTTTTCATACTAGGAGTGCAAACTAACCCAAGCTGAAATCATCATCAGTGTTTCCAAAATTTAGCCCCTGAAATATCTGAAGAAATGAAAAAGAAAAAACAAAATCCAAGAACGAATAAGAGGCACTGAAAAAGGCTGTGAATGCTTTAAGAGCAAAAGAATCCCAGTGGGAGATGCCCAGACTGTCAAGGATGTGAGGGGCACTCTGGAGTAGATGAGTGCTGGCAGGTGGGGGTGAGGAGTGATCTTTTGCCTGAGCTGCTTCCAGAGCTGACCTCCCCACACCTGAGACGAGGCCATTTTCTGCTTCTCACTGTCAATCGACCACCACTGCCCTCCCTGAGGGATCCCTGCACAGGGCCACGTCCCCTGGAGATATTTACCTACTCCAGCTCTGTACCAAGACCCCAAACTCAGCAACTGAACTCTGGGTTGAGAGACTGAGGTTGGAAATTTTAGTGTTTTAGAGAAGTGTTTGCTTCTGAAGTATAGCAAAATATTTGTAATTTTTTTTTAATTGAATGAGGTAAAATGTATTGTCCATAGCAAAAAACTCAGATTGTTGGTGATGGCATTTATGTCCCAGCTTTCATTCAGGTTTTCAGTGAACAAACAGCATTTTCAGAATACAACCTGCAGAACAGCACCTTTTCTCCAGTCATTCTCTGAAAAAGAAAGCTGCTGCTCATGGGTGGGTTTTGGGACTGTATGTTCAGGGGTCATGGCATTCCTGTCTTCAGAAATATTTCCTTTCAAATCATACTTTATCTTCTGCATCCCTTACTCAAGAGCCCTGGCTCTTGATTCCTGTCTGAACATTTGTAGCTTCCTTTGTAGTTCCTGTCTAAACTTTGTTAGCAAAGTCAGACTGGTTTTTTTTTTGGGGTTTTTGAAACTTCAAAGCAGTTTTCCTTCCAGAGGAGTTCCCTTCAAACTAAGGAAAAAAGGCTTGACAGAGGCTTCCAGAACAACTCCCCACCCTTTGCCAGTGTCAGCTGGCTCTGGAACAACTCATCTGGCTTTTTCTCCTTGTCCTGAATCCTCCAGAAAGTGAAAACTCCCAGCATTGCCTGAACCTGGCAGTGCTCACTTCTGTCTCCTGAGGGACCATGAGGGACAGTTGCCATGTCAGCTCCCCTGTACAACCTGTCTCCTCTGTATCTGCCGAGCCTTCTTTGCCAAGAGCCAATCTTCTGCATTAGTGCAAGTCAAATTCCATGTCCTGAGCTGATAGAGACTCCCTTGCCTTTCCTTCACAGCCATTTAATAGTCACAGGGAATAGCTTGAAGTTTTAGAATAGAACTTTGTCCTTTCAGCTGAGAACAACATCCTCTACCCTCCTTTGCTGTGTGTGCTACAGCTGGTCCTGTCTGTGTCTCTGGCACATGGGATTAGAAATAATTGCATCTACAGTAGAGAAATCATGGTAAACCTGTCAGGTACCTTGTATTGAGCAAGAGCTGACTCCTCCTCTGGCTCTGGGAAGTTCTTCCTCACCAGCTGAGGGACACTCAGCTAACTCAGGCTGCTCTCTAGGAAAGGATGTGCTCCATTACAGTTCAGCAGTTGGCTCCAAGGCCATGCAGCTCCTCCCCAGTGTTCCAGTTCACTGAGAATAATTTAGATGTCAGGCTTCACTGCAGAAAGGCTGGTCTAGCATATTTGAAGAAGTTATTTCCAGCTCCTAAGTCAAGCATCAGCACCCTGGTACCCCACACGTGTCCTCCATTGTTTGTTCCTTGTCTCTGAAGCATGAGAATCCAATTTCACTGCCTCCAAGGAAGCTCTGAGAATCAAAGCTCAAGTACTCTTTCAAGGGGATGTAATTCAGTATCTGGCAGAGACAGTTTGTGCCTAGTGCCTTCCTTCCGTGTTTTTCCCCACAAAGAGGGATTTTTCTCAGGGAAAAAACAAAAGCCATTGGTAAATTGGTAAATTTACCACATTAAGAGTGGTAAATGTTATGATTTTGCCCAAAAGTCTGCTCTTAGTAAGTAAAAATATTTAGTAAAAGCTAGATTATAGCTGCAATGGCTCTCATATATCAAGAGGGAGCACTCAGTGAATGATGTGAGTGGGATGGAGGAGCACATGTGTGATCCTCATGTTGCTGTGAGCTGAGCACATCTTTCCCTTCCCAGGAGCCAAACCTTGGCTCACCTACACAGAAAGGCATCGTGTATAGTGTGGTTTTGAATGGTTAACACCTGTCTGAATTACAGAACTGCTTTATTTAATGTATTACTGGGGTATTCACTCTGTTATCACCAAATGTGGGTTATTTATTATGGTCAAGTCCATTAAATGTCCTGGAAAATTCCTGTGCCTGTTCCTCCTATGTTTTCCAAGTCACAAAAGCAGGACTAATCATTGCAAACAAAGAAGAATATGGTGTCCCAAGTGCATTAAAAGCAAATATGAAAAAAGAAAATATTGCAGATTGATGGTGTATGAGGAATGTCCAGACCCTTACTTCTAACACACCTTTTGAGTGAAATAAAACTGCAGGGGTAGTTCTATAGCTCTTGTTGTTTCTGTTATTTATCAAACTTTTATTTAACGTAGAAAAGAGTAAACTATGAAACTCTCTAGGGCAGAGAAATCTTGCAAGAAGCTGCATCAGCTCTGTGTGTCCTGAGAGCAGACCCAAAGTGGAGTAGCACTTTATCTCCAGCAGCTCTCACCTCCTTTCCTGATGACATGGGAAGCCCACACTCAGCATCTGGAGTGGAGCTCAGGGAAGGATGGATGGAAAAGACAAAGGCAAAAAAACAAAAAATTCACAGTTGGAGCACAATGGAAATGCCTGCATTAGAAAATGTTTTAATGCAGTGGCCTCAGGTTCGCAGGATTTCTCATCTGCCCTCTTGTGAAGTCTTTAGATATCTCATAAATATGAAATATAACAATCTGCAGGGACCAGTGGGGACAATTTTATTCAGTTTTTGAGCTCAATACTCCAGTCATGAAAGCATTTTCTGTACATCTTCGTGGGAGCAGACAGGGACAAGCATTTGAATGCGTGTACCCACTGAGCCTATAGTAACAGCCTGTGGAGAAAATCTCCATTGCTATTATGATTTGCCTCATCATTAAATTTTGTCCAGTAGTGGAGATGAATCATGTCTTTAGAACTCATTTCCTTAAAATTAGCTTAAATTCAGGTGCAAGTGCAAGCAGCCTCAACCCTGGATGCTTTTACATGCTGTACAATGAGTGTGACTGCTGAATTATCTCACTTCTCTCTTTCAGGCAGGAAGAAGTCCCTGGAGGGAAGTATAGGAAAGATTCCATGGACCCCCCCTGAGCACAGGCACTTGTTCCCAACAGTCCCCTTGACCTCCATGAGCAAAGGCAATGAACCATGGTAATGACCTGTGAAAATGCTTGAAATCTGGTGTTTTTATATTCCCAAGGATCTGAATTTTTATAGTATAGCTCTGATTTCATTGGCCCTCATCAACATTGATCTGCTGATTAGATTACATTAGATCACATTAGGTCTGTTCAGAAGATGGATATGCATCTCAACTGACATTTCAGCAATCTGACATTTCTTTTCAAAAGAGCACTAACAAAGAGAATACTAAATAATCTCACAAAAATGAACATTTCCAATAATTTGTGTCTCAAGTAGTGTCAACATGTGAAAGCCAAAAATCTTCTACAGAAACAAAGGGTGGCACAATTCACCTGGATGGCTTGAAAAAAGTACATTTCTCCCTTGCTTTGTCTGTCTGACCGAGAGTTGCTAGCACCAATACATAACAAACCCCAAGGCCTGATTTGAGCAGCTCAGAATGTTTGCAAGTGAATAATAACCACAGCAAACCAGCATGTGATTACTGAAGTGTTTGTACCTGCAAGAGAATAAATCTATTATGCAGGAATATAGATGAGAGCCACCCTCTGGCACTTGGGACATCTCACTGCTGTTGGGTTTGTGCATATACAACCAGTGCTGCTGTGCCCCCTCACCCTCCTGATGCACAGCAGGGAAATGGCAGGGATCATGGCCCAGGGATGGAGCCCTGTGTGTTCCTGCAGCCTCTGCCAGGCTGCTGCACAGCTGCCAGCAGTGCCTGAATGCCCGGGGCTCAGAGCAGACCCCAGCCCAGCTGGATGCAGAGAGGGCAGCTGGCCATCCTGGTGCCCCCCGTGCATGCTGGGCTGCTGCTCTTATTGTCAGATTGCATTTCACTTTTCACTCTATCCTCTGCACCACATGAGAGCAGGAAGGGGCTGGGGCCAAGCACAAGGCCCTCAAATGTTCTCTGCTAAAACTCTGGGATGAAGAGAAAGAGAGGTGCCACAAAGTAGTGAAGGTGCTTCACCCCCATGTAGCTGTTGTGCTGGGTGTCCAGAGAAGGGCAGAGAGCAGATGGGGGAGATCATATCACATCCACCCTCCATCTGCGTTCTGCTGCTCTCTGGATCTGCACATGTCAGGCTGTGCTGTTGCCCACGTGTGGGTTGTGATACACCTCAGGAAAAACTGTGAAGAGATCTGCCATTGGCTCCTTCCTGTGCAGTGTGTCATCTGGCAGCTGTGTATATCACAGGGAACACAGGGACCATTCTGCTGTTCAGCAAAGCTGCTTCACTGAGTAGCCAGAGATACTTGGAGAGGGAAAAGCAAAGCGAAAGACAGCCCTTGCTTTTTTTTTTTTCTGTCAAGCTCTGAAAAGTCCTGGGAAACAAAAACCTGATGGATTAAGGACTGTGTGGAGAACCAGTAAAGCAGATTTCCAAGGATAAATTGCAGATTGAAGAAGAACAGTGCCCAAAAGGAATTATTCACTAAGATTTCTTCCTTGGTGCAGAGAGAAAGTGTTTCGGGATCTCTGATATTTCAGCCTCTGAATCAGCTTCTCTGTGGGGGATATATGGGACTTTAAGAAGGACAGCTGTCAGGGAGCCTCTGAGGTGAAGCTGATGTGTCCCCAGCACAGGCAGAAGGACCCATTTATCAACTCTTTCCTCTAGTTTGCAACCATGGGGCAGATTTTTAAAAAGCAAGTGTGTGTGCTCCCTCCTGCAACCACTGACTTTAGCAGCTGAGCTGGCAGAAGGTGCTGACGAGTGTGGCTGCAGGGTTCTGCTGCCCCAGCCATGAGACAGCACACCTGGTTCCCCTTGCAGTACATGCCCAAGCCCTTCTGGAGAGCGGAGAACCACAACACGACCAGCTTCTTCTCTGCACTGTACGGCTTCCCTAACCAGTCCTTCTTCCACAGTGACTTGAACCTGGAGGACCTGGGGGACTTTGATAGCGGAGCCAAGTATGAGGGTGAGTCCCAGAGCCGGACAGTGAAGGCTCTGCTGATTGTCGCCTACTCTGTGATCATCTGCATCTCTCTCTTCGGCAACATCCTGGTGTGCCACGTGGTCATCAAGAACAAGAGGATGCACTCTGCCACCAACCTCTTCATCGTAAATCTGGCCGTTGCTGATGTGATGATCACCACGCTGAACACCCCCTTCACACTGGTGAGCCCCGGCCAGCCGTGCCTGCCGTGTCTGTGTGTGCTGTCAGCTGTGTGCACTAGGATTGAAGGGCTGGGAACAGGCTGCTATCCTGACTTACTTTTGTCCCTCTTTCCTTTCTGCCTTGGCCCCATCCCAAACACCCCCTGAGCAAGAGGAGCTGGGGGCTCACGTCCCCACCCCACAGTCCATTGCAGGGGTCACTCTGCTGCAGCTTTCCCCCTCTACCTGGGCAAGGCACAGATCTGGGAGCCCTTTTTCCCTGTAGATGGGGAAGGAAGTGGGGACAAGTTTGACACGAGAAAATCCAATTAATGGCTGGTTTCCTATGGAAACAACATGAATCAGGTCAGTCTCTGTGCAACATCTCAGGGAAGTGCTCAGGCTGCACTGAACAGTGTGGTGCCATGTCCCTCCCTTGGCCACTACAGACGGTGCTTCCTGGGGCTAGTAGTCCTTTTTTTTTATTTTCAGTGACTAAAAATATATATTATATATAAGAATATTAAATGAATGAGGTGGGGAAAATTAAAGATTAATTTCTTGCCCCACTGTCACAGACTATACATGCCATGTACACAGGACTCTGCTCCTGGATTTGACCCAGCACTTCTGTTCAAAGTCCTGCTCCATCCCTGCCCAGAGCGCTCTTCAGCCTTTCGAAAGCAGGTCTTGAATTGGCGATTGGAATTCACCCTTTCTTGAACTGATACTGTTTCTTTAGTGGGACTTCCCTGCCTTGCTCTGATGGGATTTGCATCCCGTAATTTGTTCAGGGAGAGCCTGGTGCCCTCTTGTGTGTTCACACACAAACCACCACACACTAGGCATGTGTAAATAAATTTTTATCAGCTCTCTCAGGAACGAGTTTTACACCACCTCCAGAGATCCAGCACACTGCTCTAGTGCAGTCACAGTCAGTGCTGCAAGAGTCACCCCTACAGGGAAATTAATTAGACTAATTGAAAAGAGATTAGCTAGTCTTGACTAATTTTCTGTGGACAGATGCTTTGTAGTAAATGTACTTTACTTCAAATTAGCCTAATCTGCAGCAAAATCAGTGACATTAAATTGTAATTAATATTACACAGTCAGGAATAACAAGGGAATGAGGCAATTTGGCACATTCTCCTCTGCAGAAAAGCCATCACCACTAAGACCTCTGGGAACAGGTGAGATGATTCCATGGATTTCTCTCACTAAGTTTGGAGACCATGCAGCTTTCAGCATCCACATGTCCAAAGGTATAGTGTTTTCTGGGAGGCACCTAGTGTGCCCTGCAGAGCCTTGAGGAGCAGAGCTACGACTTCTTTATGTGTTCCAGAAGGGCTGTGGTAAATGTAAAAGTGTACTCATGTACTCAACATACACAGAGCACTGCTCAAGCCATTGGTTTGCACGGTGCAGTAAATCTCACCTCACTTTGAGACCCTCTTCCACAGTCACTGTTTCCCGAGGAAAAACTAAGGATAAAGCACCTCCAAAGCCTCAGGAAGCTGTATTAAAGAATTTGTTCCATACTGTGCACCTGGGAAGCCAATCTGTTTCTCTTCAGGTACTGCTCCTCTTAATCTGATGTTGTGTGTTTTCCAGGTGAGGTTTGTGAGCAGCACCTGGGTTTTTGGAAAGCTGATGTGTCACATCAGCCGGTTTGTTCAGTACTGCTCTGTCCACGTGTCTGTGCTGACCCTCGCTGCCATTGCACTGGACCGGCACCAGGTATGTTGAAGACACCATCCCCGTGTTTGCTAGGAAGTAATCTGCTAAATACATAGTTGTTTCCTCCTCAAATCCCAGTGCCTGGAAACCTGCACTGTCTTGAGACTCAGGGAATAGAGGGGAGAGCTCCAGCTTTCATGGTAGTGGACAAAACTGTAAATGTTTTTTACAGTGAGGGTGATGAAATTCTGCAACAGGCTGTCCCGAGAGGTTGTGGTTAGTGGGAGTCTCTGACCTTGGAGACACTGAAAACCTCAGATCAGCGCCAGACAGCCTGATCCAGCCCTGCCCTGCCTGGGCCATTGGGCTGGTGGGCTCCCTGCCCTCCTCAGCCCTGCCCCAGAGCACAGCCCCACCAGCAGGGTGGGGATGAGTGCTGAATTCAAACACCAGCCAGCCCACACGATCTCTCCACACTGATTTATGAGAGTCTGTCTGTTCTGACACCTGCCTAAGGCTCGAAACATTACGAACTATGTTAACTCATCCAGTTCAAGGTAAGAAATGCTCTCCTCCTCCAGCCCTGATGCTTACCAGCCAGGAAAACCTTTCAAGTCGAGCAATCAGTACAGACTGAAGGGTTTACTTAGGTGAAACAGAGTTTGTAATTTATTCTTTAGCTGATCAGTGCTGAGTGCTGGCAGGCCAGATCCAGCAAGGTGAGCTCTCAGGCAGACTGCATTTCTTGCGGTGCTGGAGTCCCTGAAACAGTTGCTACAGAAAAACAACTTCAGGTGATAAATACCGTGGCTGGATGAACTTCAAAACAAGAACTGGCTCCACCTGGTGACGGAGAATCACGGGGACTGCCACTTCTGACTTCTTTACCACAAGGAGTTTGACAGTCTGCCCATTTCATGTGCAATATTACAGCTCCTGAAATCAAAGCGCTTTGACAGTGATTCATTTTAATCAGTAGATTCTGGGTTGATTGCAAGGCATGGCTAGGTATTAATCATGTTTAATTAAGGGCAAACAATACACACACCCTTAAATTCAGTGGAGTGGGTTCCTCAGGGCTGGAATGAACTAGTATGGCCCAAGGAGATAAAGACAGAAGTGAGGAGATGTCCCGGATAAAAGAGGAATCAACATTTGCCTCTATAAATATTGCTAATCCTGAGAAATACCACAGCAGACAGATACTCAGGGAGAGCTGTGCAACTTGATTAAGTAGGTATTTATAATGGGACTAGAAGCAACATGCGTAACATACCAAAGGCTTCATCAGCCAAGAGATCATCTGGATGACATGATAGGTCTATTTTTAATTACTGTTTCACTGCCTAAGGTAATCCTCTACAGCACATACAGCTCAACAGAGATCTCACCACCCTGGTCTCTGGAGTCCTGCTGATGGGTCACACAGAATGTGTTTCTCTGCTTAGGCTCTGAGCCAGCAGTAACATCCAATATGTTCACAGCTCCATGCATTTCCCAGCCCTTGTGCTCCCTGAAGTCCTGTACAGCGAGTCTCTCTGCCTTTTAACACTGAAGAGATGTGGAGCTGCTGCTTCATGTTACATGCAACATGGGGCTTAAAGAGTGAACAAGGCACTGTAAATATACTCAGGAGTCGTTGATCTCTGCAGGTGATCATGCACCCTCTCAAGCCACGCATGTCCATGGTGAAAGGAGGGATTTGCATCATCATCATCTGGGTTATGGCCAGCTGCTTCTCTCTGCCACACGCCATTTATCAGACTCTGACCAGGTTTTATATTGGGTAAGATATTTACATATTTTGTGTTGTATGACATTTGCAAAGCCCCAGAGAAGCTAAGGTCACACTCCTTCATCCATGTTATTAGAGCAGAAAGGGTGGTGAAACAGAAGTTTTCGTTCCCTTTGCATGGGTGCTGTGTCTGTCACAAAGGAACAATGGCAATTGATGGAATTGCTTCCAGGCTGGTTCATTAGTTGTTTTGGGCTCAGAGGTTTGGGGCAGGCACAGGGGAGAGGGCTCCTCATCAGCAGAGGACACAGATGCCAATATGGATGATGTCTTTCTTTTCCTGGCGATGTGTTTAAGATAACCTTCCTTGGAGCCAAAGGTCAAACCTAGAGTAAAATTTTCCATTGAATGTGGCACCTGCCTATGACACCAAATGAATTCTGCTACCTGTACCTGTACTGAAACTTGTCTGAATGTCTGAGCTGTTTGTCCTCAGGTGTGTGCAGCTGATAGTGGAATTGAGAGCTCTTTCTCTTTGATCTTCAGAAACAGAACCATCCGAATGGTCTGCCTCCCCAGCTTCCCTCCTCCTGCTGATCTTTTCTGGAAGTACTTGGACCTGACTACATTTGTTCTCTTGTATGTTCTGCCCTTGCTTGTGATCTCCATCACATATGCCATAGTGGCCAAAAAGCTGTGGCTGAGGAACGCCATTGGGGACCTCACCATGGAGCAATACTATGCCCATCAGCGGAAGAAGAAGATGACGCTGAAGATGCTGATGGTGGTGGTGGTTGTGTTTGCCGTGTGCTGGTTTCCCCTGAACTGCTACGTGGTGCTGATCTCCTGCAGGGCCATCCACAGCAGCAACGCTCTGTACTTTGCTTTTCACTGGTTTGCCATGAGCAGCACCTGCTACAACCCCTTCATCTACTGCTGGCTGAACGAGAGTTTCCGCGCGGAGCTGCGGTCCCTGCTGTGCGCGTGCCGGCGCGGGAGCTCGGCTCCGGGCCATGCTCTGCAGCCCGTCTCCCCCCTGTTCCGGCGTGCCAAGGCCGAGAGCTGCCGCTGCAAAAGAAGCAGCACGTGCCAGCAGGCACAGACACCCTCCCAGAGGAACTCTGCGAGGACGGACATATCCAGCGTGCAGCCGATCGTGGCAGAAAGCTGAACCTTTCATCTGACAGCTGGGCAGCTTCATGTGGGGATTGCAAACTCATGGGCAAAATGAGTTTGGAAAGGCCTCTAGAGACCATCAAGTCAGTCTGCTGCCCACAGCACACAAACTTCAACCTTTGACTGGGTCATTCAGGACCTTGTTCTCTCAGGTATCAAAATTCTCTAGGGATGAATTGCCCACTTGTGAGCTCCAGAACGGGGGGTGTTGAGTAAATTTTTAATTGGAACAGTCAGCAAAAATGAAAATAATTATTTAACAGCACACAAAGCCTTTCATGATCTAAACAAACATGGGGAAGTTACACTAGTTATACACACACCAGCTGCCCACTGTGGCTTGATGTAAAGCTCTTAGGGCTTTAACTTTGTGAATTGACATTTCTTGGGCATAAAACCTAAATTATTTTCACTTTCAATAATATTTTATTTTTTACCAGTCCTCAAGAACTGTGTTCTTTGTGGCTTCCCTGCCAGCCTGGCAGCCCTTCCCTATTGGGCCAGCCTGTCTCCCTGTCCTGTAGTTATCCCGTGGGCAGCAGCAGCAGCAACCTTTCAGCAGCTATGGAACTGGGGGTTCCGCCTTTGTCTGAGATGGAACCAGCATAGTGTTGGTTCTATCACAATGGAACAAACAAGACCTGCAGGTTTTCAAGCCAAAAGGCAGGAGATGGAAGAAGTTTAACCTGTAAGATGTAAACAGTCATGTATTCCCTGCTCAGTGAAACTGAGTATCTGACAATGTGCCACAGCATTCACCTCAAGCACTGATCCTTGTGTTCCAGCAACATTGCTGATGGCAGGGTGCACCAGCAGAGCTGGTCCTGGTCCAAATGTGTCCCTGGAATTCAAGAGATAGCTGGGATTCCTGGGCATGTGTGTGTCTGACAGCTGGCACCAGCAGCTGTTGCTCTGGGGGCTCACAGGGGAGCCAGCCACCACATTTCAGAGCTGGGTTTGGGTCACTAGAGAGAGATACCCAGTGGGAGCACATGGCCAACTTCAGCCTATAGCTATGAAAAGCCACCAAAGTTGTATTCTCCTCTTTTTCAGAAAGAATAACCAGTTTCTTTGTGTCCATTCTGCACCGGCTCAGCCCTTGTGTTGGTAAAGATTTGAGCTTTAAAAGACAGTGAAAAGGAAATGAGCTTCAGTCTGCCCATGAAAAATACTGTAAATTACACCTCTACAGCTGAGCATTTCCACCCAGACTGGCAGCATGTCACAGCTGCAGACCAGCATGAAAGGCTGCCTCAATTTGGAAATCAAGATGCTTTAGTGGGTACAAGAATATATGACCCAAGAATGTATTTTTATTTCAAAAAGAAACTGTGAAGTGGAGGAAAGAGTAAGAGTAACACTAATCTTGCTTTTTCCTAGGCTTTTGTGGGAAGGAGGAAGACAACTACAGCTGGGACAGGGGCCTGGCATGGCTTGGGACACTGCAAGTCCCAGTGGCATTGACAGTACTAAGGCTTCAGGTCTGTGCTCCCATCTGAGGCACAGTGATCTATTTTCCTTCACATCTGCAGGAATTACTTTGCAGAGGATATGCAATGGGGAGGAAATGGAATTAGAAATATCTCCTCAAAGAGCAAATACCCAAGGCTCAGGTATCAGCTCTGACCAGGTGAACCTTCTATGTGGTTCCACTGGAGTGGAGTCCTGCCTGGAGCTGGCACCACAGAGGCAGTACCAAAACCTTTAATTCTGTGTTAAAAGTAAATTACAGCATTAACCAGACATGACTCCAAATATGGGTGTTTTACTGTCTGGAAAACTGGGAATGACACTGCCAATGGCATTTCCCTACTGTTAGTATCTGGAGGCTTCCATAAATAAGATGTCTCTTCTTAAAAAAACAAACCAATCACAAATGCAAATAAACATGTAACTTAGTAAAACTTATTCAAATGCTCTTCTCTTTACATTGGAAAAAATCAATGAGAATAAATAATGCAATTTGCATGTGTATCCCAACCCAGTCCCAGAGAACTGTCAAACTCCTTACTCTCAGCTAAATAAATCAGAGTTTGTTCTTGCCTCTCATCCTTCAGCAGGACAGCATGCTGGCTCAGCATCCCTCAGCCTTGTGTGAATGGAGGGATGGTGCAGGCCAAGGTCAAACCCACAGCCTGCCCATCTGAGCATGGCAGTAGGCAGACATCATCCCTTACCTGGCAACATCTCTCCAAGGGACAGCTTGCTCCCAGATGAAAAGCTGACATTGTTTCCTCAGAGCACATCCCATGCTGATTCTTGCACAGCAGCGCTTTCCTCAGTAGGAGTGTGCAGTCTGGCAATGCTGAGCTGCCCTAAAAAACATTGGTTCATTGAGGTGATTGTTTTTGTAAGAGTCTGGCAAACTTCCTCCTGATTACACACAACCTCCCCCTGGATGCTCTTGCTTTAATATGCGCTCTGTTAAAATATCTGTGTGGTTGTAATACAGTAAGATTTGATCCACCTATGTTCTTTGGGGTTTAACAGTCAAATAAAATACTGTTTCAGCACCCTCTCTCTCCCCTCTGGATTTTGTGTAATTTTTGAGTTATGAAAGTGGGATAATACTCCCTCTTACAAGAGGATTAGCAAAAAAGCATAGACTGCCGCTCATGGCAGACATAAACCAAAACTTTTGCCTCCATGTGTCTTGACTTCTTTCAGCATGAAGAGCCCTTTGCACAAAGAAGTGCTGTGGTTACCCAGGTGAGGGATGTGCCCCAACTGCAAAAGCTGTTTCACTGCCATGTGCTTCCCTGTAGCTCATGCAGTCAATGGCTGGTCCCAGCAGCACTTTTTGCCTGGCACCTCGGCCCAGGCAAGAGCATGGGATACTTTGAGGTCTCCTTGAATTTAACTGTTATTCTCCAATAAACACTTCCATGAAGAGAAGCACAGCCTGATTGATTCCTTGTGCATTTGTCCCCGGTGCTCCTGCTGGGATGCTCAGCCATCCCCTGGCTCCCTTCCCCTTCCTGGGCAACTTGTGCTCTTCCTCACCTGGCTGCAAGCAAATGGTGCAGGAACTGAGCACAGCAAGTCTGTCACAGCTCTGCCACACATGAAAACTGGTCATCGAAGCCAGATTTGTTTGGAAATGCTCAGTAACAACACGTGTGCTATGACTGTGCCAGACCCAGACTTGCTGGGCAAAGCTGCAATAGGGCAGCAAGAGCTCAGGCAGGTGACTGTTCACCCATCAATTTCCAGCTGTACATCTACTGAAAACCAGCAATATGCCAAATACAGAGCCCTGCAGCTACATTAAAATAACCCTTTAGCATTCAAAGTGTTAAAATCAGGTGACTACACCAAAATAAAAGAATATTTTATTGCCCGCTCAGAAGAGCTGTTTATCTCTCCTTTTGAAGAAACTTTCCAAGCAGAATAATGAACCTGCAGCTGTGAATCATTTAACCAGCCCTGATGAGCTTTGTGCAGCTCCTTTGTGCAGAGGGCTCATAGGCTTTTTGAGTCACTTCTGAGTGATTAAAAAGGAAGATGTTAACTGGATTCACTTCAACATTGCCCAAAGCACTCTGGCACCCTCCAAACCCAGACTAAATGGCTTTAGTTTGAAAAATGGGGAGATGTAGGAATAGGAATATGTAAGTCAGAGGAATGGGAAAGACATCCCTCCATGGAGGGTTCCTCTTGTTTTGGCTTTAACTGTGGTAAGAGGACACCTGAGGGTTTGCTCACAGGGTGCTCTGCGCCCCAAGACACAGTGTTGAACACACCAGAGGGGTCACCTGAACTGATACTCGGCTTGGGATTGCTGCTATTATCAAAGGCCCAGTGCTCATTGCCACTGAAGTAATTATTAGCTAACTGAATAACTATTAAGCTGGTAAAACCAAGTTATTTGGTCTGACACTTTACTGCTACTGTGGACTTTGATAATTTAAATTTTTTTTTCCCTGACTCAGGTACAGGAATTGCTTCTTCTTGATGATTTTTCCATACAAGAGAAGTGTTAACTCACACAGTGCAATTGTTTGCACAGAGACTGGTACTTCAAGTGGAGAAGAATGTGCCTGGTCTCCTACACATCAAAATGAGAAGGCACTTTTTTTTTTTCTTTTTCACAGGAGGAAAAAATTCAGCTATCTTAGGTGGAAAATTCTGTTCTGTGGCATCTGCACTGACCCGTAAATCATCCTGAATTAATTTTCATTTTTAATATTCCTCTGTCACTATGTGGACAAGAATAAGGGGGGTTTGTCTGGACATTCGCCTCACAGAAACCTGGTGTAAAGTGTCTCCCAGGATGTCTGTGGGCAAGGGGCTGGGCATGGGTGGCTGCCACCAAGAGATGGGAGAGAGCCTTCGAGCACAGGGACACTGCCAGGGCAGGATGGAGCCCAGGGGGACAGAGCTACTGGCAACTTTTGGGAAGGCCGAGGACCCAGAGGGTGGCACATGACAGAGGCTGTGCTCTGTCCCATCTCTCACCCACTGTAAATCCAAAGGCCAGAAAGAGCAGAGTATTTTTCAGCTGGAATGTGTCACACTGAGGCCCTGTCATTGCTGAAGGTCTTATGATTCTTTATAAGATCTGCATGGCCAACAGGGTTTTATACAGGTACTTTATACACCTGTGCTGGCTCAGCTGTTTCATCTCTGCCTGTTTAGAAAATGCAGGGATTGATGTCTCCAGTGGTTTCTTTATTCTGGAGGTTCCAGAATGTGAGGTGTGGAGCTGACTTCTTACAGGAAAAAGTGCCCTCACCTCAGCCCACTCAAACGCCGTATCCGGGACGTATCCTGTGGGTTTTTACTGCAGAGCCCAGCTCGCTCGGCTGTGCCAAAGGAAGGTTTGAGTTCAACGAGCAGGAAAACACGCACGGGTCTCATCGCCTCAGGCGCTCCGGGAGCCCAGGGCTGGAGTGACGGCTGTCGACCGAGAGCCACCGGGAAGGGCCGCAGCAGTGCCGTTAAACGGAGAAAGTGACCCGGGAGAGGGCACGGGGGGAGTGGGAACGGCGGAAAGAGCCGTGAGAGGGCACCGGGAGACCGGGAACGGCGGAAAGAGCCGGGAGAGGGCACCGGGAGACCGGGAACGGCGGAAAGAGCCGGGAGAAGGCACCGGAGATCGGGAACGGCGGCGGGAGCCAGCAGGGGGCGCTGTGTCTCCGTCCCGCCGTCAGGGCCCACACGGTGCCGCAGCGCCCCCTGGCGGGCCGCGGTTCCCGCCCTGCCCGGCCGCGGTGCCCTGAGGGCCCTGAGCGGGAAAAGCGCCGGGAGCGCCGGGAGCGGGGCGGGGAGGGCCCATGAGGGGTGCCCGTGACCGGGGAGGGCCCATGAGGGGTGCCCGTGACCCGGGACGGGCCCGCAAGGGGTGGCCGTGACCCGGGGAGAGCCCGAGAGGGGTGCCCGTGACCCGGGGAGGGCCGCCGGGTTCGTCCTCAGCCGCCCACCCCGTGGGCGCCCGCGCCTCACTGGCTGCCGAACTCGGCAGTGCTGGCGCGCTCCGAGTGAGCGAGGGGGTTCTCGGAGAATAAAAAATATCGTATCAAAATGGAATCTGCACCTTTCTGTCTTGGGATGTGCCACGGTGACACTGCACCCTACTCTTTTGGGATGTGCCACAGTGACACTGCACATTTGGGACGTGCCACAGTTACACTGCACCTTTCTCTTTTGGGATGTGGCACAGTGACTGCACCCTGCTCGTTTGGGATGTGGCACAGTGACACTACACCCTGCTCATTTGGGATGTGCCACGGTGACACTGCACCCTGCTCATTTGGGATGTGCCACGGTGACAGTGCAGGATGTGCCACAGTGACTGCACCCTGTTCGTTTGGGATGTGGCACAGTGACACTGCAGGATGTGGCACAGTGGCACTGCGCCCTGCTCATTTGGGATGTGCCATGGTGGCACTGCTCGTGCTGGTACTGGTGGTCTGGAGCTGTGCTGGTGCCTTGGCAGGGACCCTTTGAGCCTCGGACACAGCAGTGGAGTTTGGTGTCTCAGCTGACAGAACACAAACAAGACAAGCCAGCCTGAGCTGGAGCTCCAGTCACTGTCCTGAGCCCTGGGCTGCCGAGAGTGGTGGCACAGACCAGCCAAGGAAGGGCAGCAGTTGTTCCCCAGTGCCTCCCTGACACACCTGAGCTGCCAGCCTGGCAGGGGGCTGGGGGGGCTGCAGGGGGACTGTGCCATGGCTCTGACCCTCACAGCCACATCAGTGGAAGGTGGAACTGCCTGGACCCTGGCTGAGCCCCAATTAAGCACAGACCCCCCCAGCTGGAACAACTTCCACGAGGAGAGGCAGAGGGATGTGACTCACAGCTCACACTGGGATGGAGAGCTCAGAGCTAATGAACAAATCAAACACTTGCAAACAAGCCCCTTTGAGTGCCACTGCCACATTCCTGTTGAGGCTCAGGACATTTCAGGATCCGCTCCAAAATCCTTCATTATTCATGTGTCTAAAAATAGGTCTTGATGGCTTGCAGTGGTCAGCCAGAGCAGAGTAGCCAAATACCTCTGGTGCATTGAACTTAAATCTTCAGACTCTTCCAAAAACGACCAGGGAGGTGACAGATTTTCAGTGAAGCTGAACCAAATGTTGGGGGTGTCAGTTTTCCTCCTCTGACATAATGTCTCTCCTTTCCAGCTGATGATTTGTAAGTAATAATATTGTACCTAATATACATGAAAGCCCACAGCTAAAAAGCACTTGCCCTGGAAAGTTAAAACAAACAGATGAATCCCAGAGATACTTCTCCCAGTCATTAATGTCTCCCAGAATATCATCACTGCTCTGAAGGCTAGTTTGAGCACATGTCATCTCTTTTCTCCATTTCTGCTCATACTCAGTATCCTGTCTTTTGTTCCCTCCTCTCCTGAGTCTCCTGAGGCAGCAGAATCAGACCATCAATAAACCACTATAAATCATTACTTGCTCCCATGGCGTTTAGGGAAGCAATAAAACTTTCCTTGGCTGTGTAACTGAGTTCATGGAGCCAGTGGTGCTGCAGCCAAGCACACGTTTTCTGGAGATGCCCCAGAGGCTCGCACAGCAGGTCAGCCTGGTGGGATCAGCACGTGAGGACCCAGACAGACCAGCAGGTGTCCCTCAGTCTGAGCAGTTTTAACCTAATCCTGTAGGGCATCACGCACTGAGTACCCCTGGCCGTGAACTAAAGGTTATTTATTGGCTGTGTTACTGCCTACAGCACATTACCCAGACACTGCAAAGTGTGAGTCCAGCAACAACTGGCTAAGTGAAATTCAAGGACCATTTGCCTTTCCCCATGTCCTCAAGAACCGGGTTTGGCCATGTTCTGGGAGCCTCTTCCTGGGATTAGAAATGTGCTTTGGTGTTTTGCTTCCAGCTGAGGAGAGCTGGCTGCCATCCCAGGGCCTGCTGGTGGGATGGTAACCTGATAATTTTGCTTCAATTGTCAAATTGTCGTACTTCTTTTGAGCAGAATCCCCCTTCAGTCTTGCCCCAGAATGTTTGTTATTTCCTGTGAGTTAATTTTCAGTCTGTTT